GTTGTGGATGGAGAGCATCCCTTGCCTGGGAGTTCTCCTGATCCCTGATATTTATCCCTCCCTTTCCCAACCCCACCCAGCCTCACTCAGCTCCTACTGAACGCACCCCTGGGCCCCCAAAAATCACCCGAGCCCCCCACCTGACCCCTCTCTCTCTCTCTCTCTCTCTCCCTGCCCGTTGTCTCTTACAGATAAAATGCTCGAGGGCTCCTCTTGCTGCCGAAGCTCCCTCCCCGCCCTGCCCCTGCCGTGATCCCGAGCCTCGCCCCAGCCCAGCCAGGACCCCCCCGACCCCGCCGGGCTCCCATGGAAGAGGCGCCGGGCCGGAGCAGCCCCCCCGAGCCGCAGCCCCGCGGGACGGAGGGCGCCCCATGAGCCCCCCAAGATGAGCCAGGCAGCCAAGGGCGAGCCCCCGCCCGGGGCCGGCATGGCACAGGAGGGGCCGCCCGCCTTCTACCCCGGCCAGGAGCTCGACCTGTCCACCAAGGTGTACAAGAGGGAGTCAGGGAGCCCCTTCTCGGTGCTGGTGGACAGCAAAGTGAGCAAAGGGCACCTCCACGAGAGGGAGGAGCAGCCGTTTTTCAGGGAGAGCAGAGCGGTAGGAGAGGTCCGGGCTGTGAAAGAAGACAGGGAAAACTCTGACGACTCTGAGGAGGAGGAGGAGGAAGAGGAGGAAGATGAAGTGACTTACAAAAGGGAGCAGATTATAGTGGAGGTAAACCTTAACAACCAAACCTTAAATGTGTCCAAAGGGGAGAAGGGTGTCCCCTCCCAATCCAAAGAGACCGCTGTCCTTAAGAGCAGCAGCGAGGAAGAGGAGGAGGGCGACAGTGGGGAAGAGGCCACGGAAGACAGTAACGATTACGAGGAGAACGAGAGGCAGAAGAAAAAGGAGAAGAGAGTGGAGAAGGTGAGCGTGGGCCAGAGGAGAAGCAGGAGAGCCGCCTCTGCCGCGGCCGCCGCCGCCTCCCCGGCGCCCAGAGCCACGCGCGGCCGCAGGAAAAGCTCCGAGCCCCCCAAGCGGAAAAAGAAAACCGCAAAGGAGCCCAAGGCGGCCGTGCAGAAATCCAAGTGTGAGGAGAAGGAGACTCTGACCTGTGAGAAGTGCCCCAGGGTGTTCAACACGCGCTGGTACCTGGAGAAGCACATGAACGTCACCCACAGGCGGATGCAGATCTGCGACAAATGCGGGAAGAAGTTTGTGCTAGAGAGTGAGCTGTCCCTGCACCAGCAAACTGACTGTGAAAAAAACATCCAGGTAGGTCTGCTCGCCTGCTCGCCAGGTCCCCACACCTCCTGGCGTGCCCTGGATCCGGCTGGTGGACGCTTCACAGGGGAGAAATTTTAAAAAAAAATCTCATTTTGTACGGCCCCGGGGCGTGGGCTCTGCCTTGTCCCGCGTTTTGGGGTCTCTCGCTCCGGGGAATGAATGCTCAGCTGCTCTGAGCAGTTACTCCAGGAGTAAACTGTGAGTTGGGAGCACAGAGCTCCTTTAGCAGGGTCAGAACCAGGAGTAACTGGTCCCAAAAATCGGAATTTCTGTGGTAAATCCTGCTCCTCTTCCTGCTGAGCATCCGCAGCTCTCACTGAGGTGGCAATTCCGGAGGTTTCTGTGAAACCTCACAGCGTGGCCAGGGCAAACAGAACTCCAGGAATTCCCTGGAATGGGGAATCTCTGACATCCCAGAGATGCAGCAGTGGAGTCAGGAGCTGAGCTGGGCTTAAAATGGGATTTAAACCCCACTGAGAGCACAGGGAATTCCCGGAGTGTTTCTGGAATTGAGCACCTGCACCTTTTCCCCGGCAGGAAACACCAGCAAAGCTCCTTGAAGACACAAAAATCTCATTTCTTTTTTTTTTTTTTTTTTTTTTTTCTCTGATTTTCCCCAGCCATGGGAATAGCAGCTCTGCCCTGCTGGGGAATTTTGGGATCTGTGGGAAGAGCTCCAGATTTTCTGCTCCCTCTTGGTTTTTTGTTTTTTTTTTCAGCTCTGTGCCAGGAAATTGGGGAGCTGCTCCTTTTTCTGACACCCCAAACCTGCTTTTTTTTTTTTTGGCCTGTTTTTCACCCGTTTCCTCCTGAAATCCTCCCAGCAGCAGCAGTTCCAGTCGGATTTTTGGGCAGCTGGAATTTGGGGGTTTTTTTTGTGTGAGAGTTTGAGCACAATAATTGAACATTTTTTTCATTGTTTGTTTGCTTTCAATGCTGGGCTGGGTTGATCCTCAGCTCCTGCTGTGGGGGAGATGTGGAATATTTATTGCAGTTTCTCTTTTCCAAGCTCTGTGTAACTCCAGGCTGGGGTTTTTTTTTGTTGTTGTTTTTGGGTTTTTTTTCCCTTATGTTTCAGCTCAAGGAAGGATTTATTATTATAAATTGAATTTTTGCAGCTTTTGAAAGAAATATTTTAAAAGTTCAGTGCAGCAGGGAACGTTTAAATGGGAATTTAAGAGATGCTCCAGCGTGCAGGGAGGTTCATTCACAGCATAAAAATTGAAGCAGGAATTTAAAAATAAAGGAATTAAGGCAGGAATTGAAATTTAAAATGAAAATGTAAAAATATTTTGAACACATAAAATGGAGAAATATCCTGTATCCTTCCACACACGTGGCCAAAAGTGATAAGAAAAGGAGAAATTATAGAAATTATGGTTTAAATCCAGAGGAAAACGATCCAGAAACTTCCCAGTGCCAGCAGCACTGAGTCACCTTCAAGCCCTCAATATCCAAGATTAAACCCAGCAATTCTTGTTCTGTCCTGACCTTTGGGATGTGTTTTTATTCCAATTGCCAGCAGGATTGAGGGAAAATTAAAATTTTCCTTTAATTCGGGGTTAAACGTGTCAAGGGGGAGCTTTTTCCTGCAATAAAAATGGTTTAATGTTGGATTGAAATGCAAACCGAGGCTGGCTCCTCCCAGTTTTTCATGCTGGGGATGGAATAAATCTGTTTTTTTTTTTCCAGGGCATTTCTTCTTTTTCATCCGTCACAATCAGCACCTTCACCCAATTTCTGTCGTCTCTGTGTGGTTCCTCTCAGTTTTAATCTTTAATTCTGTTGTAGATTTGTCCCCTCCAGGGGCTCTTTTCACTGTAAATCCCAGGATTTGGGATTTCTTCACTCTCCAGGAGTTTTTTTTTTTCCTCCCTCCCAAGAGGGGAATCCCAGCTGTGGGGGCAGAGAATTCCCAAACCTGCCGAGATTCCAGCAGGAGAAGAAACAGAATCCCAGAGCAGCAGGATTGATTAATCCATTAATTAATCAGCACCCAGCCCTTGAGACTGATGGGGAAAGGGGTGGGGATCGATGGGCTGGGAGTGGAGACATCCCAAAAACCCCAAACTTCCCAAAAAAAAAAAACCAAAAAAACCCCAAAGAAGGCACAATTCCTGCCTGTGCCCTGCGAGGTGAAGATGATTCGGTTCCCTCACGCTCCAGGATTTCCAGCTGGAATTCCCACCTCGGACAGGGATTTTTTTAAAATGAAGTTTTTTAGGAAGAGCTGCCTGAAATCCTCGGTGGGGGGGTTGAATTCCTGGACGTTCCACGGGAGTTTTGGGAAGGAATTCCGGAATTTTGGACCTCCAGTGGTGCCTTTAATGAGTGAGGAGAACACAGGAAGAGGAGCTGGGGCCTGGATTTGCTCCAGGAGCTGATCCTGGAGTGTCCA